GTGGGGCAGTTCCACTCTGTCCTCTAGGGGCGCTGTGGGTCAGAATGGACTCCAGGCAGTGGGTGTGGTTTGGGCTTTGCTCCATGAAGATTGACAGCCTGGGAGACCCTGTGGGGCAGTTGTTCTCTGTGACACACGGGGTCGCCAGGAGTTGGGGTTGACATCTGATGCCCACACTGCTCTGCATCCGGCTTGTTGGCCCTCCGTGATCTTCCCGAGCTGGTGTGCAGCATCCACGTCCTGTGCTGGTGCCCAGGGCACCCTATCTTGTCAAGGGCACCGGCTGTCAACCCGCCTGTGCTGTGGGTGCTGCCTGGAGCACCTGGCTGGGCCGTGCTCACCAGCCTGCTCCATGGCAGTGCCTACAGTGTGTGCAGTGAGTGTGTTTGACACCTGGGTCTTTTCCAAGGCGTTGCTGTCATGAGCAGCTGTGGTGAGTCAGCACACGTCCCTGCCAGGCCCGAGGTGAGCGTTGGTCTGCAGCGTGGGTCCCTGGAGTCGGGCTTCTGGCCAAAGGGTGGACGTGGTTGTGGTTTTGAGGTGTTGGTAGCCGCCCTGAGACAGGCCTGGGTGTGCCCGGTTTGCCAGGTGACAGGGCCCTCTGGGGGGGTTTGCACCCTCCTGCTTAGGGGACCTGGAGCCCTCCCTGGGCTGGAAGGTGACATGGAGACGGGACCTGCATGTTCCTGTGTGTCACCGTCTGTCTGTGGAGTCTCCGGTCCCCTTCCCGGCCCGTGCAAGTATCCAGTGGTCACATGTGGTTCAGAACCAGTGGTGACCAGGTCTAGCCAGACGCTTTGATTCTAAACCAGCACCACACGCCGCTTGTGGGAAATTAGTGGAGAAAGGACTGAGGAAAACTCCAGTCAGATCCCAGTAGACAGACGTCCTGCAGAGCCTGGCTCCGTCCTCCAACGTGGCCGGGGGGTGACGTCACGGGGAAGTCTGAGAAGGGATCCGAGCCCAGAGGAGCCTCAGATGACGATGGCTCCATGTGACACGGGTCCTGGGACCGGGCAGCATTCGGGAGAACAGGGCACCTGAGCGGTGTGTCGTTGTTGCTGGTCAGCCGGACCCCACTGCCGGCCGGCCCACGTGTGCCGAGGGGACCGCGTGTGGAGAGGGGACCATGTGTACCGAGGGGGCCGCGTGTGGCGAGGGGGCCGCGTGTGCTGAAGGGGCCGTGTGTGCTGAGGGGACTGCGTGTGGAGAGGGGACCGCGTGTGCCGAGGGGACCGCGTGTGCTGAGGGGACCGCGTGTGCCGAGGGGACCGCGTGTGGAGAGGGGACCGCGTGTGGGTTGAGGGGACCGCGTGTGGAGAGGGGACCGCGTATGGAGAGGGGACCGTGTGTACCGAGGGGGCCGTGTGTGCTGAGGGGACCGCGTGTGGTGAGGGGACCACGTGTGGGCTGAGGGGGCCGCGTGTGGAGAGGGGACCGCGTGTGCCGAGGGGACCGCGTGTGG